TCTCAGCCTCCTGTGTGGGTTTACTTTCCACCTCCAACAGTAAAATCACAGCTTGCATTATAATGTATTTTAAGTGCACTTTGTAATGAAATAATATTAAGAAATATTCAGTAAAACTGAGTGATTATAAAACTTTCACTCTGCATTAACTCAACAGATTCTTATTATAACAATCAACTTTATATCTGATGGTATCTAAACTACTGCCTTTGATTTCCATGTACTATGTATAATTGGACCCAGTCATCAATATTTTGATTTGATACAAACAAAATATCTTGCACTATTCTTAACCAAAACACCAAGTAAACCGAGTTTTCTCACTGACATACTATGAGTTACACAGTAATCAGAGTTCACTTTATATCAACCTTAAAATCCAGATCAAGTTCTTTATTTTCATCCACTTTACTTAAAGAGTTGTGTTTTTTGATCTATTTGTTTTGTTCAACAGTCATGAATGACTATGTTTGAATATGTGCAAGACCACACACATGCATTTATATACATACAACATTAAATATTGTCACAAACACCAGAGAGTAAATAAAACAGAGTGCTTCAGGCTCATCCATAAATTACTTCTGGAACCTGGATAACTGTGGTAGTGTGCTGCCACTTGTGATCTACAAAACTCAACACATTTTTCTTTTCAAATGTCATGAAATAAACAAAGAATAATAATCACTGGTAGAAGTAAGCCAAACTATTTTACAGCTAAAATTATCATCATCCAGAATTAATATTCATGCTGTTACAACAATATATGCTACAATTCACTTCATATCAGCCTTAAAATCCAGATTCAAGTCCTTTATTTCCATCTATATACAGTATATATCAATACCTGCAGAGAAAAGACAATTCCTTCACTACATGTGGAAACACCAATGATCCTTCAAGTGTATGGGGAAGAAGCTAGTGAGGAACAAGCAACATTCTCCATTAACCTTTCAATACTCAAACAGATCAGCTGAGTAATTTATTAAAACATCAAAGGACATTTTGCCACAGAAACTCACTTAGTAGCTAAAAAAAAAGCTACTTCTTTTCAGTCACTTAGTTTTAGAACCACATATCCATCCTAGCTGTATGACAATCTAGTAGCTATCACTTAATATCTAGTGACTATCTCTAAATGAAATTCTGCTACAAAGTTTGAGAAACAAGGTTTGTAATGCCCTTTTGACTGAGTTTCTGAACTTCTAGTAATGATCTTTAGCTGTAAAAACCACTGAATTTAATTACACCAGTTATGCTAGCTATTCACTAATTTATGTTAGTCCCAGCTTTATTGATAACAGTGCCAGTGAAAGCAGCTCAGCTAACTGTCAAAGCTGCTTCTTGTCTATAACTCCAACACTTCCTTATCTGGCTTGTCTTGAGCAGCCAAATAAGTACTTTCAGCTTTCCTCCTCATCAGCTGAGTCAATGTTACACGAGATGCATCTTCATATTCCCCTAACTCCTTGTCTAGATAGCGCATGAGAAATTAATCTGTAATGTACAGGATGCAACTTATTAAAGTGCTTCATGTGACTCGCATCAACTGTAACTCATATATATCAATGGCATACATTAAGTGCTCATCCCAGTCAGTTCAACCAGAATTAACAAATTTGGCAAGCATGCACTTGATAGTTTGTATAATCCATTCTGCTCAACTATTAGACTGGGGATAATAAGACTAAGTGTACATCTTCACCATACCTAACACTAAAATCAACTCATAGAACAGTTTGAAGTTAGCTCCCTGATCTATGTGGATCTTTTGTTACTCCAAACCAGACTATCCAGATCTCTGCTGAAACATCAGCTATGGACTTTCCTAAAGTATTTACAAGTGGATAAGTGAAGTAGTTTATGACAATTATTATGTTACAATGACCTCATTTAGTTTCCAAGAATGAACTAGGGCTATCCTCTGTAAAGAAGATACAACAATTCTCTACTAGGGTTTACTCTGTTTAGGCTAACTCTTTGTATCATACAAAGTCTGGAGAATCTGTTGCCTTAGTGATTTGGGGACCATAAGCTCTAGAGCACAGGATGAGAAACACAGCTCAGTAGTTAATAACAATAGTACAACATAGTCTTGCACTTGTAACTGATAATAAAAATGCCATAGGTTATGTGCATTTGTGCTACATTCTTTAATTTGTGCTGGCAGAGCTTTACTTTGCTGCATGGCGAGATTCCAGAGTTAATCATGACATCTATCAACAAGAGGCATTTCCTACTGTATGGGTTAATGTTACTACTGGCAAAAATAGTTTAAACTCCCACATGGTGTCCAGGGTTGAGACATAATTAATGGATGGGGTCTCACGGTGTGGTGAAACTGTCAATAAATTCTTCTGTGTTATGGGCTATTGTGATGCATATTTTTGCTATCATTGGTGTTGATGTCCAATAAGAACAAGGATATATCTAGCACTAAGGTCTCCACTAAAGCATGATTTATGGATTGGAATGCCTCTTTCCTCACTCCATTATGACATTGTTACTGCAAAATTGGAAATGTTGGCCATGAAGTGTTGGTAATACAACATAAAATCAAAGAAATTATGGATGCCACTTTTGGTCACAGACTAAGGCTGATCTCGCATCGCTGCTCTCTTAACTGGGTCTATCAAGACCTCATCTTTACCCCCAATATGACCAAGAAATTCCCCTTCTGATAACATGGTTTAAAGTTGAAACTTACTTTTTTATATTCTGGAGTACTATTCTCATGTTCTCAGCTGCAGACTTGGGTGTAACCAAGCAAAAATCAAAACATTGTTGACATAGAGCAGGCACCTCTCCCATTGCAGCCTCTTCAGTGTAAGCTCCATTAGACTCTCAAAGTGGTGGGCACATTACACAGGAATAATGGAATGAAGTAAAACTCATACAATATATTTCTTATGTTAAATGTAGTCTTTAGACTGCTATTGTTATTCAGGTTGATTTGCCAGTATCTAGATGCTAGATCTAAGTTGTTGAACAAACAGGAACCTTCCAACACATCCAGACATTCATCTGTTCACAGCAAGGGAATGGCATCAATGCAAGTTACAGCACTCATCTGTCTAAAATCAACATAGAACCTTGACATAAATTCCTTCTTTCTGACAATCACAACTGGAGAGGACCAAACACTCTGAAGATTGTATGATGCCATCCTTTAACATCTACTGTATTTCACTTCTGGCTACATCCCTAGAGTTTCAGGGAGGCTGGCACAGTAGCTATTTGATCAGCTGTATGTCTCCTGTATATATGTGATGGCAAGTTACTGTTGTTTGACTCAATCAGCCACCTGATCCCACATTACATCAGAATACTCAACTATTAACTAAGATATGCTGATGTTGTAATGAGTTCAGACTTTTTCCACAATTCTCAACTAACAATCTGAGATGTGTTTGCAGTTATGTACTTGTTCTTGGACTCAGTGACAAATGTAACCCTAGCATTAATATTAATGCCAACTTTGACTACTTTCACTTCACTTACTGTGCTGATGACCATTCCCAGTAATTGGATAACTGACTGCCCTTAACTTCAGAAAAACACAGACTTCACCCTTTCTCAGTCAGATAACTGCCTGAACTAATGCTGCTTGCTTTCTGGACAGAAAAAAGTGTGCTTCATGTATTGTATAACTACATTATATAGCATCAATACATTAGATCTCCTTGATAGTAAACCACAAAACACTACATACATACAGATATACCATTATTCTCTCCTCCACACACTTATTCAGTCCACCATTGCTGGGCTCACAAAACAAGTTCACTGATCAATAATTTCCACAGTATGTCCACATCAAGGATGCTAGTACTAGAACTGAGGTCAGAGATGACTATCTTCATTCTGTGAGCATCCAGACATCTAGAAATTAAACCTCATAGGTTAATCCAAGCTCAACCCAGCCTTTTCGCATAAAATGTTTGCTGCTCTCCCATAAAGTCAGCGAACAGACCCAACTTGGGCTTCATTAGTTTTTTGGGGAATTGTAGTAGCATTTACTACCTGCTGTTGGTTCACCTGTACCTGCTGAGCCAGTAGTCGAAACCAATAGCTTGACTACCTTACCAAATGGTAAGGTATGAGAAGTTAACTTTTTAGTGACCTTATTTTCCACATCCAAATCATAAGCAATGATTCTGTTTCAGAATTATGTCCAGACAAAGATATCAATGGCATAAGATGTGGCAGAAAAACAATGGTAGAACTTGAATAGCTCTGCCCATTCACTGGAAAGGAATGTGGTTGCATCGCAATGCTGTTATGTATGGGTTGTTGATTTACCCCAGGGTGGCTTGAGTGCAGCTTAGTGTACATACCTAGGCAAGGTCCATCTGTCAGAAGTATAGTCACAGAAGATGTCTGTTTTGCCTGGAAATCTCTTGACTAATTTGTTCACAATGGTGTAGCCAAAACATGGAGGCCATTTCAGAGTGTACTTTACCATGGAATTGGTGCAGATCTCCCATCCATTATTACATTATCCATGAGACTTGCTCTGTCTACTTCACAAATGAGTATAAATTACTTTACTCAAGAGTTAATTTCACTATGACAAACTACAGTAGCTTTACTGATTAATTATGTCTGCAATGTTACCATTTTAAGACCCTTCACTTACTTTATTCAAGTACTCATTCTTAACTAAGCCCAAGATCTCCATACTGGCTGTTCAAAGATGTATGCTTATCTTGCTCAAAGACCTTTCACTGACTTATTCTAGTAGTACATATTCTTACCTTGTCCACATCACTAGCATTAAATTACTCAGAGTTAATTGCATGGATTGTTCACTATGATGTAAACTACAGTAGCTTTACTCTATAATTATGTCTGCAATTTTACTGTTTCAAGGCCCTTCAATTACTTTATTCAAGTACTCATTCTTAACTAGTCCAAGATCTCTATACTGGCTGTTCAGACATATACTTATCTTGCTCAAAGGCCTTTCACTGACTTATTCTAATAGTACATATTCTTACCTTGTCCACATCACTACCACTAACAGGCCCCAATCTGTCACTGACTGAAGAAGTTGCTGTTCCAGATGTTGTCTTTAAAACAGCTGTCACACTAACAGGAGTGACACCTGACACAGAAACACTGTTTATAGTAGATGACGGAAGAACAGTCGGTATTGTGATGGCCCCACGGATGGCAGGTGCAGGCTGAGCTATAGTCTGTTAATGAAAATTTGTTTTTGATGTTCACAATTCATTTTTAGCTGTCCTGGCACTGGTGAAAATGTATCACTTAAAATCAGCAAGTTTTCCATACATAGCACAACAAGATTTAAATTGTCTTGTCAAATTGTCAGTAATAATATGAAACTACGCAGGTAACCCTTACACTCATTATAATTAATAAGCAGTTTCATAGTTATATATAAATTAATTAATATTTCTGATGATTGTTTTTTAAGAACAAGTACTGCCATATCTACAATACATCCTAAAATCACAAAGATATAAATTATTAATATGTGACTGTTATATCTTAATCATATGAAAGAAATATTTATTTTCTGAAAAGCATCATTAGCTAATATTCTTCAGTGTATGAAGGGCCTTAGGTGTACATATAAAACTAGAATTCACCATTTCAAAAAAAAAAAAGGTTAGGGATCTCAAGTTATACAGTACATGAGAAATACTTACCAGCAGGTGCAAGGATGAATCAGCCCCGACCTACCTCCTGAGAAAAGAAGCAAAAAAAAAAAGAAAGACCAATACAGTTGGTCGTAACAACCAGGAAGGGTCCATTTTTGTATGGCCTGTACTATATATTGAGATGGTTTATTTTTCTTTGTGGAAGCTGCAAGAAAAAGAAATAATCAGGTAGTCAACAATTTACTTCTTTGGGCCTCTAGTAAGACTGGAGAATGGCAACTGGAGGGAAATGATACCCAGAGGTAGATGAAACTGCAATGTGGTGTAAGTAACATGACAGAAAGATGTTAGAAGTCATTCACCACCCTGCCTGCAATACCTCATAAATGGAATATCAATTCCAGAGGCAAAAGAAGCCATTAAGATGATAAACTTGATGGGAGATGAAGTGAAAAATTATAATGTTCCTAAATTAAAATGTATCACTTCAAAGTTTGGCAGAAGACACGAGCACCGGAAGATTGTGGGGAGGACGAGTGGGAAGTGTAAGGAAGTTCCTATTGGAAATACATTATAATTTAGGAAAATTATAACTTCTGATAAGGTACTCACTCTCCCTCTTCTCACAAGATTAGCTTGAATCCCACATTGAAATGAAGGAGGGACTGTTGCGAGGGAAGCACAGACGTATCCCCTGGAAGCATCCTGAAAACAACCGAAAAGAGAAAACCAATGACCCAAAACCTCCTGGTGATCCACACAGGCATCACAGCCCTTAAGGGATGCATCCATGAACAGATGTAAATCTGGCAGCAGAGGAGGAAGCATGACCCCTGCCAACATGTGGGCCCTGTTCAACCACCAATGGAGATTGACTACAAGGGATGAGTGGAGGGATATAGAAGTCTTCAAGGGATTCCGGGTGATGTTTCATTGATCATGAAGGACCCATTGTTGAAACAGCATATAAGCCCTGCCCAGAGGTATAAGAGGGGTCATGGAGAAAAAAAATCCCCCAAAAGGGATTGAATCTCGTGAGCTGTAAGTCAGGGAACAGAAAAGGCTTTCCGATTGGCCAGTTCCATAGAATGGAGCCATAGAGGAGAAGGTTGTGCCCGACTGAGATAGGTGTTGAAGAAAACACCCAAATGGATAAGGTATTAGGTAGGACAAAGGAAAGACTTCTCTAATTTGACCAACCAGCCCATCTGCGCAGCTGACGAATGTGATAGGTCGATTACCATTTGGAATGAGCAAAAAGAAGCCAATCATCCATATAAACATGGAAGCATAACTCCTTGGCAAGAATATCCCGAGCTAAGTTAAAGTAGCAGACCACCCATATGGTGCTGAGGCTAGGCTGAAAGATATGGACACGACGCTCCGCCACAGGAATGTGTAGTTAAGCACTAGAAATGTCCACCTTGGTAATCCAAAGACCTATAGAAAATGCCCACTAATGAGAAAGGTACATCTCCATGGTAAAGCTAGGAGTGTGAACATACTGATTGAGATGGGATAACTCAATGACAGGACACCAGACCCGGTCTTCTTGTGAACCACAAACAGGTGTGAGTAAAACCCTCGTGAATCTGGTTTGATAGCCTGTTGTGCAATGAGGTCCTGAACCATCTCTGACAGGTAATGGAAACACTGAATAAGGGAGAAAGAGAGAGAATGGGGATAACGTTCACCTCCAAGAGCACTCTGTGAACCCAGACATCAGCAACAAAAGGTCACCACCAATGGATGAAATTCAAAAGACAAGCCCCCACTGGGCCCATACTGACCACATAGTCACAGGTACTGCTATTGTGTCATCGAGTAAATCGTTGAACCATGGCACCAAGGGAGGGTGGGACAGGAAGAGGTTGGGACCATGTAAGAAAAAGTAAGGTCGAGGAACAAGAACTGGTGCCATGCCCGGCCGTGACTGCGACAAATGAGCTACCAAGATAGTAAGGATTGAATGTTGATGGGCCAAGGCCACCCGCAACTCCAAAGACTCAGGAAACACATAATGCCACAAAAATGGTTCCATGCCAAGGTCTCTCAGATAAGGAGCCTGAAGATGGGTTCGCACCAAAACCGCATCATGGCCCAAGAGATCCCAACAACAAACAAACCATGTTTGAATAGCAAGAGTCGACGACAACAAACAAGCCAATGTAGAAGTAAGGATGGAGAGGATTTTAGCAAAAAAAACCCCTCATGGTTCCTGTGAAGAGCCTCTGACAGAAGGTGAAGGGAGAAAAGGTACCTTAACATGGTTGCGAGGATGAGAAAATTGGGCTTGAATAAGAGGGACAGAGTGATATGGGTTTGCCCCCCACCCAAGCAGGTAGAACCAACCCCAACAACTGTTGGTCGAGAAAGGGAAAATCCACCCAATGATAAGCAAGAGTGGACTGATCCAAAGTCTGTGGGGGACGAGGCACACTAATGCCCTCCTCCAGTTGAATGGCAAATCGGTCCACGTGATACAAGTTTTACGTTCTTAATTTTATAAGGAAATATTTAAAAAACAAAACAAATTCCCCTAGTATGAGAATTGTGACATTGCTCTCTATGTCTTCCCTCCTTTCTAATTTCTTTACCACCCCTCTGAGGAGTATGGAATTTAATGTAAGTTACTTATTATAATATAGCTATTAGTCATGCAAAGCATAATGTTTATAGCCTTCAATCTTACTGGTTTATCTCCACAAACTAGAAAATCAGACCCACATGCCACATCCTCTCTTTGTGCCCTTACATATGACTGTGTTTTAAACCATTGTATTGCTCATCTTACAATGCATACCAGTAGCATTTTAGGTACATTTTTGGCTGCTGTAAACCCAGCTCAGACAAAAGACCTCTTTCACAGTGGTTTGTGGCAGACAACAAATGGTCTAAAATTGTTTTTTTTATCTTTTATGTTTTGAAATCTATAAAAGACAAGTTAACAGGAATACAAAGAAAAAATGCCTACCATCAAATGTGATTTTATCAATTTTGCTACAAAGCTTCAATGCTTTACCATTTTAGATATTTACAGTATTGCAGATATAAAATTTATCTGTATGTACCGCAGTGTACAAAGTATAGGCACAAAGCTACCTAAAGTGAAATATATAAACGAGATTTTTAAATGTTATACAAGTCATTGTTTTAGGTTAAAAACCTATATATACTGTGGTCTTATGTTTTGTTCTACTCATAACTCCCAACCTTAAGAGTTTGAAATAATGATTACGTTTTGTATGGCACAAATTACACTACTAATTAGCTACAGATATGCTCAGCAAAAATTTAAATTTTGTATTTTTTCAAGTACAAATTACATATGTAGGTATGATTGAGTTTGAAAACCTAGCTCTAAAATGCAACATCGCAACCATAAGAATCTGTAACATAATTATATATCCTGCCTTATACGAAACAGGTCTATTCTTTCAGTATCATAAATTAGAATAAAACATTAACATATTTATTAAAATGGACAACACTTTACTTTGTACTTCACTAGCACATTCACAAGCTAGTGATTTTAAGTTATATACTGTACTTAACACTTCAGTTATTCTGAATCATTAGAGCATCTAAACAATCCTCTAAACATGTTAAGACTTGCTCAATTTGAATAATTTAGGGAAAAAATTTAAATACACATTTTCAAGAACAGCTAAATGTATGATGATTAAAAAATAAATAGTACTTAATTGTAATAAATGAGTTATAAACATGTTTACTGTACATCAACAGCAGACACTAGGGAGTGCATTCTGGTGAACCATAACTTTTTTCTTTATTTAACTTTAAAAGGACACAAATCAAGTCTCATTAATACAGAAGAATATCTATTTAAAAATTTAATTCTAACAACAGTGTTACATAGGTTAAACCATGTTCTAAATCCCCCTCCCCCCAACATTATTTCCTTGATGTTATGATAGTTAGACTTTTACACTCCTGTTTGCACCCCCAGTAAATTCAAATTTGTCTAACTGCAAAAAAATTACAAATGCAGTTTTAATAAATCAGGCTGTATTTACAGTATTGTGTGCTATTTACCATACACTATTATGCATATTATTAACAATACACTTTATTTTACACAAGTGAGCTTCCTTTTTCTGTTTAAAAAAGAAACCATAATAATTTTGCAACTTAAACTTCTATGCATGTGGTACTGTCCTTCATTTGCATTATACCACTAAAATAAGGCCTTTTAATTGATTAATTTCTTAAAAGGGTAAACAATCTTCACATGCAAAACTACACTTTCTACATACTCGTATTGTCCAATTTCCGTTTAAGTTATCATACCAGCATCCCACACCCTCAATGCAAAAATACATCAACAAAAATAAAACGTACCTTTTGGACATGATTTATTTTATTTTTAGTAATGGCATTTTGCATGACTATTTCAAAAAATATATATAAAAAAGATTAACCACTGTTTCAAATATTTTGTAGTAGAGACTGTATAATTTTAGTTATGTTCATCCAGTTTCATGCAGTGCAGATGATAAGTTACTTTTGGCTTCATTTGATTAAATTTGTGCAAATAATTTCGCTAGCTC